TGTGCACCCAGTTTAGAAGTGCACTCAAATAGTTTCTTCACCAAGTTTTCATGTTAGGATAGAATAGACAGTTTCAATTGGAAGGGAACTACAGTTGTCATCCAGTGCAGCTGCCTGACCACTTCAGGGCTGACCAAATGCTAAAGCATGTTGTTAAGGTCATTGTCCTAAGGCCTCTTAAACACTGCTAACAGGCTTGGGGCAAYAAAAAATTTAACTTTCCTAAAAAAATAACATGAGCAAAAAASTAAGCTGTTGATGATTTTTATTGATGTAGAAACTGTATAGCCTTAAAAATGCTTCGATTGAGTTTCCACAGTATTTTTTCTGTTYGTTGTTCAGTAGATATTTCATCTGGAATTAGAATACAGCAAGTATTCTGCTAGTGCTGGTAATTTACCTGCAATTCAGACTTCTATAGCTATTTCAGTTGAGCTGAAATACCCTGCAAAATACTTTTCTAAACTCAAACTGCAGCACATTTTCTTATTCCTTTTCTTTGATGTCCCTTTTTATCCCAAGGGAAAGCTCTTTGCTGTTAGGAAAARCAGGGGTTGAAGAACATAAACAGATTTTTAAAGAAGTACAAAGACCCAAACTAAGAAATTAGATGCATGCTAAGATGTTCAGAAGCTGCATGTTTTAAAACTTTGAATTTTTCTTCAAATTTAGATAACTCTTAAGGGAATTATGTAGTCAAGATTGTCTATGGCTAAGAGGAGAATRGATTGAGTTTGTAATTTTTGGCTAATGKTGTCTTTTTGGCATAACTATTTGTAACAGTTGTTTAGTAGGAGAACTGTAAATAACCCAGAGAAGGCTGAGAGCTGAGATTTCACCTCTGGTCAAAAACTTGAAAACCTCCGGAGTTTATTTGAATTTTCACTTTTCAAGATACTTCATCAACTTTCTCTAAATTTTAACTTCTGCATATTTAAAACAACATATTGCAACATGGGAAAAGAGTTAATAAAACRAAGTACTGGTTCAGTTGAAACAGAGTTGGGAGAACTGCACAGCATCCAGCCAGCTAAAATTTTTAGGCTTTATCTTCTGAAGTTTTGCTGAACCAGCTAGAATTTAAGAGAAAAATTACAAAGAATTAATGCTTTCTATTCTCAAGTAATTTCTTAACAAGATATTTATTTTTATTTGATCTTTCTGGCTTCCAGGGAAAATAATGGAAAAACAGCACTATCTCATTTCAATGTAAAATAATATGTTATTCTTAAAGAAAAACATGCTTGTATGCTGAAATTATTGGAGACTTAAATGTCTTTGATATTGGCTACAGCTGCTGTTAGAGGGATGTTTTGTTTGTCAGAGAACAGATATGTTTGGAGTTCTTCCGTCAGTGTTATAAGGCCAATAAGAGGAATTCCTTCCTCTATCTTCTTAAATTACTCTAGATTTCAGCATGAGAATAGCAGTAATTTGTAATACTGTAGAAAAAGAAACTTTCTTTTCATTATGATGATCACTGACCCATTTCCTCTGATTTTAGGTTCAGTACTCTCATTTTTACTGTAATAGCAATGAAAAAAAGTGTTTTCATACTTTTGGACAAGAAATCAATTCAATTCCTTTTGGTCTTGGTGAAGTCTCTGAACAATAAAGCACTAAATGGTCAAATGTATTTTGAAAATATCAGGTACTCTATTGACTTTCTTGTATGTACAATGGTTACAAATCAGCTTGCCACAGAATAGGATATCTCAGTTGGAAAGGATCTACCAGCAATCATTTAGTCCAACTGCCTGACCACCTGACCAAAAGCTAAAGCATATTGTGAAAGGCATTGCCTGGATGCCTCTTAAACACTTTATTCTTCCTAGGAAGTCTCTTCCAGTGCTTTACCACCCTCTCAATAAAGAAATATTTCCTAATGTTCAGTCTGAACATCCCCTGGCACAGCTTAGGACCATTCCCATGTGTCCTATCACTGAACACTGGAGAGAAGAGCTCAGCACATCCATCTCCACTTTCCCTCAGCCCCCTTCTCTCCAAACTGGACCAACTCAAAGTCCTCAACTGCTCCTCACAGGACATGTCTTCCAGCCTTGTCAACAGCTTTGTCACCCTCTTCTGGATGCACTCACAGAACTCCACATCCTTTTTAAACTGTGGGGCCCAGAGCTGCACAGAATACTCCAGGTGAGGCTGCACCAACACTGAATGGAGGACAATCACCTCCTTTCACCAACTGGCTCTGCTGTTTTTGATGCACCCTGGGATGGGGTTTGCCCTCCTGGCTGCCTGGGCTCCCTCCCTGCTCCCTCCCATTGAGCTGCTGCCAACCAGCACCTCCAGATCCCTTTGTGCAGGGCTGCTCTCCAGCCACTCCTCTCACTGTTTATACCTTTTCCTGGTGTTAGTCCATCCCAGGTRCCAAATCTGGCATTTGTTCTTGTTAAATTTCATGTTATTGATGATTACCCAGTTCTCCGATGTGTYGAGATGTCTCTGCAAAYTTCCTAATGGTGCATTGAACTCCTTCATCCAGATGACTGATAAATATCTTGAACAGAACTGGCCCTAGAACCCTGAGAAACATTGCTGGTGCCGTCACCAATCAGCTGTAACTGAGCACTCTGGGCTCTGCCCTTCAGCCAGTTCTTCACCCAGTGCATTGTGAACCCACTCACCCCACAGCTGGACAGCTTGTCCAGGGGAATGTTTTGAGGAACAGTGTCAAAAGCCTTATTAGAATTTTAAAAGGAAAAATCATCCATTTTCTTTCCTTGTCACTCATGAGGAGGACAATTTTATCATAAAATGTTATCAAGTTAGTTAAATAGGACTTTCTCTACCAAACTTGAGCTGAGTCAAAGTTTAAATAAAAATAGATCCTTAAACTTTATCTTGTAGRTTCATTCCCAAGTACTTGGTCAGGAGCTCTGAAAAATCAATCAGAGTATTTATAAATTCATGATACCTTAAGGGATGCTTTTCTAAAGTCTGGGACATGTGGTGACCATTAATGGTGGCTCTGTAAGAACCTCAGAAGTATTTTCTTCCTTGCAGGTGCATTTCAGATAAAATTTGTTGTGGTTTTTTGTTTGTAATTAATAAATATCTGAGCAGTTGATCTTTGACGTATTGAACGTATGCTAAAGATTAACTGTTAGAAATTTAAATTTATTTTGTTTAGTTTAAAAGTACAGGCAGCTCTATTATGAAACAAGTACCAAAAGGCCAAATTAGACATTCATCTCCAAGAACATGAAAAGTGCTAGCTCTGGTGGTATTAGAGATGTAAATGTTTTAGGTCACATAAGTTCGCTTAAGCAAGAATTATTTTTTTATTTATTTTTGCATAAATAACTAGAAAAATACTCATAGGGTGATAGGCTTTATATCTTACTGTACTTGTAATGTTACCATTTTTTACTTTTGCTTGACTGAACAATATTGTGCCTAATAAAGAGCAATCCACCATGTATTTTTGGAGTCTAGGTGCCAGGAGTTTATGTATCTTTTACACCAGCCTTCTTAAGCCAGGCATGTCTGGTTGTAACAACTGTGAGAAGTTGACTACTCATCTAGTATTTTCTGAAAGGATTTAATGCTTTTGAAATCTCAAGTACCATAACTGCAATACCAGTACAGTTCACTGGAAGCATTGGGACTGAACTACTTCGTTAGTTATCACTGGCAAGTAAGAATGTCCTTCATGCCAGAAACTCCAGAAAATCTTCCTGGTCTTCTAAGTGCTGTTGGCTAAAGCATCAGTTCCTATTTCAAATAGCAGTCTGGATTCAGTTGGCAGTGTGTAGTGTGCCTAGCACTGTGTTGTGGGCCAGCATCTGTGTTCTGGGTTTGTTGGCACAAAAGTAATAACCTTTTGGTTTWAATGAAAGAAGGAAAATAAAGCTGGCAAAAACATTTCTCTTAAGAGTAGTGAATGATGTTTTTGTTTTTCCATCTTCAAAACACAGGGCATTTTAGTTAATTATGTTTTTTCAACATAATCAAAGTAGTACATTCCAACTACACAAAAAAAAAAAAAGAAATGTAAATTGAAAGAAACTGGAGGAAAAGCAGCCCTATCAACAAGGGAAAGTTGACTCTAATTCTTTTTTGCCTCATGTGTCATGTAGTATAGCAACAGGAAGAGTTTCAAATTGCKTGCTAAACTTCTGCTTCCCTGTCATTGCAATACAAAAAGACTAGGAATGGTTAGGTAAATAACAAAGGAGGTATGTCTGTGGGCATCAGCTGAGTGATTGGAATATTGATTATGAGCCACAAAATCACTTAAAATACTCCAGTCCGTGTCTGTGGATTGGTTGAAGGAGGGTGACAGTGATGATGGTGAGCAGAAGATTTGAGAAAATTAACAGTAGGAAGAAGGARGGATACAAAATCCAGACACACTTACTTTGCTGGGTGTCAAGGGCAAGGGCAATACCACAGCAAATCAGTTTTTGTGTTTTCATCTCCCTTTTGGTCTCCTTTCAAAGAGTATGTGTATGTATCAACATGAGCAGAATTTTGTTTAAAAAGTTCTGTCCTTCAGTTCTTAGGCACTGRCCACATCAGTAAGTTAAAACTGTTTGAAATTGATGTGCCTGAAATACTGTCAAGTTCCACTAATTTTTATTAAGTATTCAGTGGGGTCTTTCAGAAGATGCAGCCTGTGCTTTTGTAAGGGCTTGTAAGCTCCTGTGTGGCTTCTGAAAAGAAACAGTTTGTGGGCATCCGTTCCACAAAATGGTTCAGAGCTGCYTCGTGGTGCTGGGTGCTCAAGGTTGCTGTGGTCTGTGGCTGTGGTGAGGGGCATCCCCCCAATTCCTGCCTCWCACCCTGGTGGGGTGCAGCTCGCTCTCCCCTCCGTGTGCTCTGTGAGTTGGGGCACTCAGCTCCGCAGGTGGGATTGTGCTGGGCTCTACCTCCCTGGCTGGATTTCAGGTGCTGCAGAGCTGAGCAGAATTAGATGCYTGTCGGATCTGTCAGTAGGTGTTATCAAAAATAACCAGAATCATGTTTTTCCTCCCTAGAAAAGTTGATTGCCTATCAGCGGGAATTTCATGCTTTGAAGGAGCGTCTCCGTATCGCCGAGCACCGCACTCTGCAGCGCTCTTCCGAGCTCAACGCCATCCTGGAGCAGTTCAGGCGGGCAGTGGCAGAAACAAACGGCAGTAAGAATGCAATGAACAATTTTTCAGGTAYGTTCTCTGACTGAGAGAGACTTTTTTATAATTCTGCAATGCCAATATCTCTTCTTATTACTATAGAATAAGGAATTGCTGCCAAAACAGCCAAATGATAGTGTTCAGCASTGTGAATAAAGAATGTGTAATATATCTGGTGTGGGTGTCTTTGGTTTGTTTTTTCTGATTGTTGTTCTTAATGATTCACCCACTCTTACTCAGTTCCTAAAGTTGTAACAGTTACTTACTCCACACCTAGCTCCCAAAGTTTGGAACTTCTGTTTACTTATTTAATATGTTGAATATGTTGTGACAATTAATTTACATCACTCTTCAAATAGAGGGGAAAAGCGAGCAAACAGAAGAAATGGATGAACTTGAAGCAGTTAAAATATGTTTAAAAGTCAACTGAAGATATAAAATCATATAGACTAAAGTATTGATTATGATTTGTAAAAAGCAYGGATAATGGCCTTTTCAATAACTAATAATCAAACTAATCATGTCTTCTGTAAATTTTTACCCATTTTGGAGACTGATGCTTAGGTTTACAAAAAGCTGTTTGGCAATATTAGAGAAAGACTTCACAATATTCACCAAATTATTGAAGTTAAGTTTTAAACACATGCTGTTACTGCTTTAGTCACTCTGATTTTTGTGGATGAAAAATGAATAGCAAATAAATACAAATTCTCTGTCAAGAGGTCTGATTTAGTCGCTTGCAGAAATTTCACTGTGTTGGTCTAACAAGAAGYTGAAACCCAAAGGGTTTTGCAAATCAAAAATCTGAAACGAGATTTTTTTAATTCATAGTATACTTGCATTTGTGCTATGATTTACTGGTTTTGATAGAATACTTTTTTGTGGGGAAATGGTTATAATTATAGGTCTTGGTGCTGATGCTAATCATGAATTGCTGTCTGACATTAATGGCCTGATCTCGGTAGTCCCCTGGGTCTCCAGGAATTGCACAGATAAAGGTTACGTTTAGCATGGTCTGTAAACCTTGTCTTCCTATATATCAAATATATGTTTTTGCTTTTAAAGTAAACCATGAAGGAAGTCAAATAATTTTGATTCTGAGTTTAAGATTAAGTTATTACCACATWTGTTTCTGAAATTGACTTAGCTTGCTTATAGCCAATAGAGTTATAGGGAGTTATTCTCTTCTGATGCCGCTGGAAGTGTAATTCATGTAACATTCTACCGTGTCTGGATCCCAGCTGAGATGGACATCCACGTTTTTCCATGTAGAGCCATAATGGGAAGCCAGCTGAACAGCTGAGCTCTAGTGCTAAGAATATAGGATTAGATAGATTTTTTTTAAGCTTAATATACTTAAGTATACATAATACTATTTGCTCTCTTTGAAGCTAGAAGAAATCAAGATTATTTTGTGTAGACCCTTATTCATTCAAAGAGCKGTCATGCTTGGACAGAATGCAGTCCAGCTTTTGCTGATGAAGTTAAATGTTGGCAGGAAAAGTAAATTGTGCCTGTATTGGAGTCTGTCAAAATAGGCACATTTACTTATGGCATCTATTTACAAAGCTTTCTGCAAAGTTTGAGGTAGTAAGGAATTTAGGTACACCAAAAAACATGCACTCCAAACGTACAGAACCAAAAATCGCAACAAAACCCATCTATCTTTGTAGAAGCTCTGCTCAGAATCTGAGGGGAATGAAACTTATGGCATTATTTTCTTTACTTCTTCTCAATTTTATCTCAAGAAATCTTGAGTACAGCTTTTTTACTTAACTTGATATTATAAAGCCTGTAAGTTTTCAAAGATCCATATGCTATCATATTTGTCATTTGAAATGAGTTGTTTTCACACTCGATGCAAGAAAATGAACACGCACAGCAGGGTAATTTTAAAAACTGTTATTTGCAACTTTGAGAGCCACCTGGACATACTGCGAGGCAGTAGCTCCAGAAGGAGCAAGAATGATTCTAATGGAATCTAATAGGATAATTCTATTCCAGTGGACTAAAAAAATTTGCATTAGATTTCATTTTTTTGCAGGAATACTCAAAATCTCAAGTGTATATTTAATGCTATTTTATTTTGTGTCTGTATGTGTAGTATATTTCAATATGTACTTGTAGCTCTGTAAAGTTATTTGCAGTAGCATTGCTGCATGGTGATRACCTCAGTAAGCAAAAGTAAACAATTATCTAGGCAAATAAATTTCCCATTTGATTAACTGGTAAAAAAACCATCAAAACCACAAGCCCCCAGATAAATGGAGCATTCTTTACTTCTGTGAATTCACACTAAATCTTATGTAATCAGGTAAGTATTCACTGTACCTGTAACAAGGTTAGGTGTAAAGTAGTTTTTGCCATCATTTATTAAAAAAATCAAAATAAGAAAATACTTCCTTTGTAGACAAGATATAATGCCTCAGAGAAATGCATAATTTGTTCTGGCTTTCAGTTAGGACTAATTTTATGCTGTTAGAATTTTATGCTGTTTACTGTTGCTTAAAACTTCATATTATTTGTTTTCTGCATTGCTGATTCCCTGTGTGTTTGCAGATGAGACGCTGAAATTGTTAAAAGAGCTAACAAGTAGAAAATCTCTTCAAGTGCCAAATATCTATTACCATTTGCCTCATTTGTTGAAAAATGAAGGAAGCCTTCAACCTTCTGTGCAGGTTGGCCTTGGAAGGACAGGAGGTATGCTGATATGATGGTTATTTCATGTTTTATATCTGGAGGACCTTCTAGTTTTAGAAATAGAATTTACTGCATTTCTTGGTAGATCAAGGACATCTCGTTTAACTTGTGTGATATTGATATCCTTTGAATTCGCACTGAATCCGAGATGAAAGGAGCTTGGTTTCAGCTTTGCTCTTTTCTGCATAATCTCAATCACACCCCATGCTGTGTTAAGATACACATTAAGAAGCATTTAGTTCGGATGAATTTTTTGTAACTGAAGGRAAACAAAGCTCAAGCATTACAGATTCTGAACTGCTAATGGATAYCCCTTTGGCTTTTCAGATTTGTGGRGCAGCCATGCATGGATATAATTATTTTAGCACTGATGTTTCTCTTGTTCTGATCTGTGTATTTCAATGGATAAATTAAAAGTTGAGATGATTAAGATAATCACATATAAWTGCATCAATAAAACCTGGACATAGGAGGGAGTGCTGTAGTTACTCCTGGCCTGTGTCTTTTTATTACTTTAGTAAGTTTGATTGCTCCTTCTTTTAACACAAGGACTGCCTGAGTGACAGATATGTGGGCTTAGGCCATACGTTTATTTTTCTGACTATAAATACCTTTTATTTCAAGGTTGTTATTCAAGGAGGAAAAATCTAATAATCCGTTATTGTTTTTAGTGAAGTCTGTATTGTGTCCCCCTGGGAATTTGGAATTACGAAATAGAAATTGGAATCAGGTTTATTTAATTAAATGGARGAAGGGAATTCAGGGTTTCAGGATTTCATGAAGTCTGCTTTATCCTTTTACTGCATTCCTGCAGTGCTCCCACTAGGTAGCCAGCCCTGGTTACATTGCAGAAGAAAAACTATGGAAAAATTAAGGAGCACAGGAGTCAAATGGACAGCTGAAAGGTGGTGTCGATAATATTATAGCTGGGGACCATGCGTTGTGGTGCTRTTGTCAGAGATAAGAGATTTTGTTGAGGAACTTCTGTGAAATTCTGATCTCCTGAACTTGTTTTTTCAGAAGAAGCAAAACCAGGTACAAGGAAAGTAATAGAGTTTTGCAGCATTATTGTTTTGAAAGATAACTTCTGARAAGTTAAATACTTGAGTTATGAAGAATGGTTATATCAGTTTTAAAGTAAAACTTAGGGAGTTTAATCACTCTTGGTGCACCTTACCTGATTAATACCATGGTTTTACTATTGTATTATGTTTYGTATGACATTTTGGTAGCAGGGAGGCTACTGGGCTGGTTTCTGTAAGAGGGTGCCAGCAGCTTTTCCTGTGTCCAGTAGAGCCAATAGCCAGATCAGTGCCACTGGAATAACAGATTGAAGGTGGGGGGGAAGAAAACTGCACAAGGGCGACTGCAGCTGGAGAGAGGAGTGAGAACATGCAAGAGCACTGCAGACAGCAAGGTCAGTGCAGAAGGAAGGGGAGAAGGTGCTCCAGGTATCGGGGCAGAGAGTCCAGAGATCCACGTGCAGCCCCTGGAGGACCTCATRTCAGAGCAGGTGGATGCCCAAAGGAGGTGTGATCCCATGGGAAGCCCACACAGGAACAGGCTCCTGGCAGGACCCATGGAGAGAGGAGCTCACGGTGGAGCAGTTTGCTGGCAGGACCTGTGACCCCTCAGGGGACCCACACTGGAGCAGACTGTTCTAGAAGAACTGCAGTTCTTACATTGGACATGTTCATGGACGACCATCTGCCATGGCAGGGACCACGTGCTGGATTGGGGAAGAGTCTGAGGAATTCTCCCACTGAGGAGAAAGAAGTTGTGGAGATCATGTGTGATGAGCTGAATCCCAGCCTCCATTCCCCATGCCCCTGTGCTGCTGGTAGGGAGGAGGCAGAGAAATCAGGTGTGAAGTTGAGCCCAGGACAAAGGGAAATGTGAGGGGAAGGTGTTCTAAAATTTGTTTTTATTTCCATTACCCTATGTTCATTTGATGGGTAATAAATTAAATTACCTTCCTCACATCTTCTTTGCCTGTGACAGTAACTAGTGAATGACCTCTCCCTGCCCTTGTTTTTACCCATGAACCTTTTGTTATATTTTCTCCTCCCTGTCCAGGTGAGGAGGTGAGCTATAGAGCAGCTTTGGTGGGTACCTAGTGTCCAGTCAGGATCAGCCCACCACACCTACACAATAGTCTGGCATGTCTAGGATTGCTTCATTTGTCTGCTGTTTGTTCTGAGCATTGGTGGTGGTTGTTTGTCAAGTTCCTGATGCTGGGTAGCATATTTTTAAACTGTTTTTAATTACTCTTGCCTCCAGTTTTTAACTCTTGACATTTCTTAAGCAACGCCTTATTCCAAGATTTTTGTTTTCTATCTTGTGTATGAAATCACTGAAAGTACCTTTCTGGTTTGTTTGATTTCAGTTTCCATTGTAATGGGAATACCTACAGTGAAAAGAAAAGTCAAGTCTTACCTTACAGAAACTCTCCACTCCCTTATTGATAAGCTGTCCCCTGAAGAAAAACTGGATTGTGTTATGGTTGTCTTTATAGGAGAGGTAATACTTAAAAGTTCTTCATATTATTTCTAACCTGCCTTTAATCACAAGTAACACTTTTTTCAGGAGCTGATGAGGATCTACTTTTTCTTCAAGATGTAGATAGATGACTCTCTTCTTTCAGGAAAAGGAGTGTCAGTCTTGGGTTTCTGAGGTACAATCCTAAAGAGCCCAGCTTTTTCTGTTTATCAGGGGAATAGAGGACATGGATTCAGTGGAATGGTTATTTTGCAAGTCTTCTTGTGTTTATACCTAGTGACAAAGATATGCCAGTTATCTTATTCCTTCAATGTAAGAATRATGGCTAAGGAACTCTTTTGTAGGGGAGGATTCCTCCCATTTTTCTGAATGCCACTGCTTAGTCCTCTGTCAAACGAGTGCTTCGGTTTGAGACATGAGRCACAGACTGTTACTGAATTAATTTTCTGGACAATGTGGATGTTTGAAACCCAGACCTTTTTAATGGATTAATTCAGCGTTCAGTTGGACTGTTTGTTCAGTTTGGCTCTGATTTAGTGGAAATCAAATTTAGGAAATTGATAGAGTACTTTCAGAAATAATTCTGTTGGATGCTGGGAAGTGCATGTACCTATTTTGTTCTCCATGCTTTTCCCAGAAGTCTGACTTGGACAGTAGGAAATTTATGTTTGACCTTCATCCATCTAATGGTGTAGTTCTGTGCTGGAATAGTCTTTTATAAGTCCCACAGATGAAAATTCAAATCCCCAATTATAACTGAAAATGGTTTTAATTCAGTGAGCCAGTGTCCATTCAGGGATGAATCAGTGGAAAACCTGACGTTTTAATACTTCTATTTATCAACATATTTTAAAACTTTCCTTGAAAAGTTTGTAAATATTTTGCTTTTACCTGAGAACTGTTTCTTAGTGTTTTCTAATGCAAATTGCTCTTTTTTCTTGACAGCCAGTCAAAAATTATCTGCCTGAATAGATACTATTTTTCTGAAAAAAAGGTGTTTTTTTCTCTTGGTTGTGAATATCAGTGTAACAGAATTCTTTCTGAATTGCTGGAATGCAGTGGGGTTTTTTCCCTGTATTAGTTGGAGGAATTTTATTGCCTGTTAATAAGGCTTCTTCTCAAGGTTTAAAACTAAAGTTCCATTTGTTTTGCTTAAGGAGGTCTGAGCTATGAAAACACTCTGTTATCATTGGATTTTCTGTCTTCTGCAAAATTTGGAATAGGAGTGGAGTGTCCCCAACTGCATAATCTTTTGTTGCCTTAGACAGGCTGTATTGCTATATTCAGGTTTTCCATAGCTGAATAACTTTCTTCCTTTGAGGTGGTGGGAAATTCTCTCACTTTGGGAGTGATTCTGCACAAGTGACTGAGAATGAACGTTTTAACATGGAAGYTATTGCTCCTGTGCCCATGGAGAATTGTGTGGTTGTTCTGGACTGGGATACAGTTACCTCTTTATTCCATCTCTTTGAGGGTAGTTCTGTGTGTTTACTCGGGTATCTGTTTTGGGCATGGCAAGTCGTGAATRTCTGGGAAAATTTGAAGAATTTTTGTTTAAATTTTTGTTCTGTTGTAACCATTTGTTAGATTTGCCTTTCTTTTTCTTTATTCCTTCCAATTTATTCTTTTTCCTTCTTTATTCTCGGACCATGTTTTTTATTTTCTTAAGCTCAGTAACTCACTGTTTGTTTTGTAATTGCTACAGGGAACTCTCTWAATGATTAATATGGTGCATTAAATWCTTCATCCTGAATTATRCTGTGCTYTTTCYGAGTTATTCTGTATGTTTCAGTTTCCTTCTGCAAGATAAAAAGTGTAGATTCATTAAGCATTTTCTCTGGCTGTTTCAAGGAAGGCCTACTCCTCTGGTAGACTTTTGTTTCTCCTTAAAGGAGAGGAAGGGCCAAATCTTTTAAAATAGCTTTGTCTATGTGGTATCCTAGCCTAAAATGCATTAGGCTATTGCTGTCATTAACATGYGCAATAATAAAGGCTTATTTAAAAATACATTAGGGCTTTGACAAACTATGCTTATATTAAAAATTATGGCAAATTTCTAAAAAAAGGCATGGCCTCTGCTCAAACATATGTGCAGTTTAAGTATGGCAAGAAATGGTCATAGGGTAAGGTTATGTAATTTTGCTAATAAGCTTAAAATTGCTATCTGGGCCTTGTCTATAGCTTGYAGCAACAACAAAAGAAGAAGCACAAGACTAAAAAAATAGTCTTACGAGAAAATTATATGAAAAATAGTATTTTTAAAGGATTTTAGTATTTTTCTTGCTATCATTATTTGAGAAATCAAATTTTCACTGTTTAAGCAGCATTGCTGGGAGCCACGGAATGTAAGCTCTTTGTCCTAGGCATTGGACAAAACTCTTCTAATAYGGCTGGTTTTTTAGTAGCTCAAACTCACTMATTTCTTGTAATTTTATTTTTTACWARAAAATGAATTAGAAGGCTAATGGCCTTCTGCAAATAGCATCAACAGTGTAAACAGATGAGCTAGTAAATATAGATGCATTTTGGTTGCTAAATAAAGAGATCTGCATATTCATTTACTGTATGGATATTTCTCAGTAATATAATTACACACAGTAAATTTCCATACTGGAAGTTCAAGAAACTCTGAAATATCTCAGCTGATGTGATAACTAATCACCARTTTAAATAATTACTAGAATTGCTTGACAGTAAACTGTACAATTGTCCTAGTTACTGACATATGTCTCTGTGTTCTCCAATTTGTTAAAATAACTTAGTGGCAGAATAATTTGCAGGTATTCATTAGGATGACTAATAAATAGGCATGATTAATTTTACCTCTATAATTCAAAATCTTTTTATTCCCCCTGACTACGTAGCTAGTTTCTTGCTYGTATGAGTTGAAAACAAACAATTCAAATCTCATAAACCTGCTTTGTATAAGAACTTGCTTTCATAAGGCATAAGTCTAGATTTAGGAAACTATGAACTCCAGATTAAAATGTTGTCTAGTATTTTTATTTAATAGGGTTTGTAATTAATATGGGAAGCATGTTTTTGATGTACTTTAAATGATCATACTGGAACAACAGACATATATATATATATATACACACACTACTGAATATGAGAGAAATTAGGATACTTCCCTGGTATCTAAACAACATGTTGGGATTTTTTTCTGAGGGGCGATCTCATTTGCCATAAAGAAAATGCATCTGAGACTTGTTCTAAATATATCAGAAATTATTGTCAGTCCACTTCATTAATCAGAGTCTGCACTTAGCACAGTCTTTTGTACAAACAGTARTCAGTGCAAACTGGAAAGACTATAAGCCCTTGATTTGACCAAAAATATCAGAAGGACAAATAATTTCAGGAAGAATTGGAAGATGCTACAGGTATGCACAAGCATTTTGCTATTTTTGAATGCTCCTGATTGCACCTGACCAGGTAATAATTGACCAGCCTTTTGTTCTTGGAGCATTAAGCCATGTGTTATACTTTCTTGCATATTCCTTGTTTAAATCTGACTCTGTTGTTTCATGTACATACAGTTCACTTAAGCTGGAAAAACCGGCACATCTTGATTATCTTTTACTGTCACTGTTATCTCTTTATGTAAACGGCTGCTGCTAAATTAAAAGATGTTGATCTTTAATAGTGCTTTCTCTGTGCTCCTTCTGAGGAGAATMTTTTTTTATTTATTATTTCTTTGGAAAAGTTTCAAGCACCCAGCAAGTTACCATCCTGTGCACTGGTATGAATGAAGCCTCAGCAAATTAAGGACTGGTGCACATGCTGGGTCAGACCTTGCTGAACCTGTTTTGTAGGTATTAACATTGCACTGCAATATGTAAAACTTCTCTACAAATGAAACAAACCTGTATTTTCAGCTCTTCTTGCTCTGGGCCTGAATTACAGTTCTCTTTGATCATCAGCTCTCTTGATAAAAAACAAAAKAGTATTTTGATTGTCTTACTCAGCCTGGATGTATTAGCATCATCCCAGCAACAGGGTTGTTCATACTTTCTGCTGMTTGTTGAAAACGTGAGATGCTCCTTCCTGGAACTGCCCTAGAGAGTGTATTCCTAGTCCTTGGAAGTTCTGACTGTGCATCTTGAATTGGAGAAAATCCAGTAGATCTTAGCATGTGCACTATGTATGTGTATGATGTATATATATTTTTAAAAAATCAAAGTTGTTGTGTCAAGATACATTATCTACACTGAATAATATTAAAGACCTACATAGATGGGAATCTTTGWTTTGGATATCTCACTCAGAACTGATCAGGATGAACACACTTTCTAGACACACTGCCAGCTCTTGTATTTGAAAAGGTAGCTTGACTTGTCAGTGAGAATTTGAGGTATTTATGCTGTTTTGTGGTCCCTGCTACTTTGGCACCTAACCTTTGGTTTGCAGATTTATGGATTGCTGATACTTTGGATTGCTGGATGGATTGCTGGATGGATTGCTGGCACCAACATGGGATTTTATGCTCCTCTTTCCATGTCAGTGACTAGCAAAGTTTTTATAAGGAATTAAAAAAAAAAAACAGTGATAAAAATCTTTCCTAGATCTAAGAAAGTGATAAAAATCTTTCCTAGATCTAAGAAAAGATCCTTGACAGGATCTGAAAACTTAAGTGTACCTGAGAAAAATTCAGTATCTCAGCAGAAAGCTGAAATCCAGGACTGTGTTCTTTCCTGACACCCCAGACTGGAATAACTGAAATGCTTCTCTGAGATATTTGCTGGGGAACAAACAATGACTATCTGATGCTTCTGGTAAGGCAGCATCACTATTGAGAGCCAGAGTGGTGCTGATCTCTCTGGTGACATCCAGGATATTTGTGAAGTGGGAAGTAACAGTAATAATCTTATTTCAGAAGCTTTGTGGCAGGTGCCTTCATACCTGCACAATGTCCTGCAAATAAAGAACCCATATTTACCACAGTAAAAGGGTACTTGGGACTGTGCACAACAACTGCCTGTCTTCTGGAAGACAAACTGTTTAGACCATTTCAGCAA